CACAGTGAAACGGAGACGGAAGTCGCACCTGCAACACAAGGTGTGAGGCGGCTTTGACCAAGCTTGGTGCTGAAGGCGTGCAAAGGACAGGATCAATGCGAAGGCGAGAACGCCCGAGATCGCATCCATACACACTCACACAGCACACACACACAGCACACACACACACACACACACACACTCTCTCTCTCTCTCTCTCTCTCTCTCTCTCACACACACACACTCACACAGGGCGCTCATGCAAATACACAGAGCGCGCGCACACACACACGAACAAGTTAACACAAGACATGCGCACGTGAAAGAGCTATGAAGACGAGAGCGATGCTGGCCGAGGGCGTCGCGGTCGGGAGGGGACTGGAGGCGGTGGTGCCTCTGATTCGCTGGAACTGGATGCCCGAGCAGCCGGGCTCGTGGGAGTGAACACAGCCTCCTGCCCACGGCCACTGCCACTGCCAGCCGATGACGTGGATAGCCTGGACGACGACACCGGCCCGCGGCTGTGCCGCTGCACGCCGACGCCACGCGGCACATCGTAGCCATCGGCAGTGCTGGCCGGCCGTTGGCGGCGAATACCACTCGGGCGCAGCTGAACACCGACAACTGGCTGCTGCTGCTGCTGCTGCTGCTGTTGGCGCAAGTGCTGCTGCTGTAACATGGCCTCGTTCGTATATGTGCCAGCATCGTCCTGCAATGACACGGTGCGGCGACGTGGTGCAAGCGGGGGCGGCACGGAAGACGCTGGCGACGACGCCGATGAGGAGGCAGAAGGCGACAGGTCCACCACTCGCGGCACATCGTATGACTCATCTTCACTGAGTAGGCCGGCCGTCGTTGCACTTGTTGATGGCGCAGTTGTGCTGGTGGATGGTGAGGTAGGAGCTGGCATGTTGCTGTAGTGATGCGTGGTTACGACTGGCTGCTGCCTCTGTTGTTGTTGTTGCTGTTGCTGTTGCTGTTGTTGTTGTTGTTGCTGCTGCTGTGGCACCACGCGTGGGACGTCATAGTTCCCGCTTGCCTCTGCGCCAGTTGTGCAGGGCGCGTGCGGTGATGATTGCACTTTTGGCACGTCGTAGTGGTCATCATATATCACATCCTCATCCGCACCACCTGTCGAAGGGCGCTGCTGCTGCTGTTGTTGTGGTTGCTGCTGTTCTTGTTGTGGTTGCTGCTGCTGTTGTTGTGGTTGGTGTTGTTGTTGTTGTGGGTGTGGTGTTGGTCTTGATTGCGTCTCGCGAGCCTGTGCGACTGGCTGTTCGGTGGCGTGCGTGGCAGGCATTGAAGATGGCATGACACGCGAAGCCGTCACACTGCGAGCACGGGTTTCTCCACCGTCCTCCGTGCTTGCAGGCACAGGGTGGCTGCCGCGTGCCGCCAACTGTGGTCGTTGTCGTGAATGTGCTCGAGAGCGTGGCTGTAGGGTTGCGCTCTTGCTGCCCAGAGCCGGCACTGCTGAGAACTGATGAGTGTCAAAATGTCCACTGTGCCGCTGTTGTTGTTGCTGCCGCTGCCGTTGTTGCTGATGCTGTTGCTGCTGTCGTTGTTGCTGCTGTCGATGATGGGGGCCGTTGCTGGGCCGAGATGTGGTTGTGCGTGCACGAAGGCGAGGGCCTGCGGTCCCAGCTGCTGTCTGCGGCACTGGGGTGTGGGCTTGTACCGCAGACATGGGCTGATCCGTGTCGGATGGCTTATGCAGCACATTGTAGTGGGTGCTCGTGAGGTGCACCTTGCCCTTGCGCAGGGAGTCGTACTTGCTTGGTGCGAGGTCCAGCCCTGCCCCGCCGGATACAGCACTGTACGTGCTGTCTGCGGTCCAGCCACCGCCAGCGGAGCTGGTAACCGTGCGGGCGCGACTGCCTGCAGGCACGTCATCATACAGCACGTCAGCGTCCTGGGTGCTGTGGTGGGCGCCGGCTGTTACAGCTTCAGGCAAGCCTGTGCCTGTGCCACGCCTGTCGACAGCGAACTCGTGATACGCAACCTCTGTCGTGTCACCCCGGCCGTTGGAGGGAACATCATCGTAGTCTTCGTGATATACATCACCCAAACCAGGAAGGTTCTCCAGCACGCCTGCAGGCACAAACGCCTCCTTGTGGTCAAACCCGCCCTCGCTGTCTCGCAGCATGTATCTTCCGCCGACGATTTCTTCGTCATAGCCCATGTTCGCACCAGGCAGCGCCGCTGACGCCGCATGCATGTGGACGTCACCGTCACCGCCATAATGGCTCACGCTGCCAAGCAGCTCGTCCTCTGGTAATTGAGTGTGCTGCTGCTGCTGATGCGGCTGCTGTTGTTGCCTATGCCATGTTTCGGAGAGCTGCTTGGAGTTGACGTAGCCATCATGCGCCGTGATGCCTGTCCTGCCTGCGCCGTTGCCTGCATGGATCTGATCCCTGCCCTTCTGCTTTGCGCTGAGTTGTGGCGATGGTGGCAGATGCGCGTCCCCGTAAACCGATTCCGGCAACGGCTGTGGCGCGCGGGACAACGTGTTTGTCTTGGACATGGTGCCATTCGCATTCCCAGCATCTGTGTGTGTGCGTGTGTGCGTGTGTGCGTGTGTGCGTGTGAGTGTGTGTGTGTGTGTGTGTGTGTGTGTGTGTGTGTGTGTGTGTGTGTGTGTGTGTGTGTGTGTGTGTGTGTGTGTGTGTGTGTGTGTGTGTGGGTGGGTGGGTTTTTTTTGTGTGTGTGTGTGTGACAGAAATGAACCTCATACAGGGAGGTGGACAGAGACGCAGACAGAGACCCAAAGAAACAGATACACTTGTACCGAAGGTGGGGTTGTGATGGACTGTAGTTGGCGCAGCCGCTGAGGGTGAAGTGGAATGCGGAACGGAAGACGAAGACGAGGATTCTGGTGGAGGAAAGACTGTGCGGAGCACATGCGATGCCTTGCCCTTGCGCTTGCGCCGCATCATGATAACAGCGCCCACAACGAGTGCACATGCGACAAGCGCGCCAACAACAGCGCCAACTATGACACCCGTGTCGCTGCCACCGCCACCGCTCCCGGCAGGGATCGGGTTGCTGGTGGTTGCTGTTGTTGTCGCTGTTGGTGCTATTGTTGTTTGGGTGCCCGCTGTGGTCTGGCCTGCAGACTGCTTGCAAGCAACATTGGAAGCAGGGAAGGTAACACACAAGCAAGCCAGCATGCGCAAACGTGAGCAAGTGTACGTGACTCATCGTGAGTGGCAAGCGTGTATGTGCTTGTCGGAGCACATGGCACATATTTGACACAATCACCACCATAATGTGTGTGTGTGTGTGTCGCACCTGACAGGTTGTGTCTGCGTGCCACATCGACATGGGAAGACCGGAAGAACCGGCGTTCGGGTGCATGCGGGGGAAACATGCGCGACGGGGTCAATGATGTGTCAGCCACTATCAGTTGAGCGTGAAAGCTGTGAAGCAAGTTACAGATCGCAGATCCACACACACGAGCACAACACACCCACACACCGTACCTGTGTGCATGAAGGAGATTGTGATGTTGGCGAGGTGTTGCTGGTGACGGGTTACGTTGAAGAGATTGATATGCCTGCTGCCCTGCTCGCCAGTCAAGACAGCGCTGCCACCCGCAATGTTTTCGCTCGCAGAGTACAGGCTCACATTCAGAGACGTCATGTTTCCCTGTATCAGTGGATATACCAAAATGGACACATGAGGCGGTGTGAAATGCTGTCATCTAGGGTACGAGCCGCCATCGAGTGAAAGAGAAGGAAGGGAACGGGTAGTGGACAATAAAAAGATCAAATGGCTTCACTGCTGCAGCAAGTGCTGCTTGGAGCTGCTTGGAGCTGCTGCTGCTGCTTGGACCTGGACGCCTGATCCCGCCTCTAATCCTCTAGGAAATGCATGATTTCACGCTGAACGCACGCACACACACACACACACACACACACACACACACACACACACACACACACACACACACACACACACACACACACAACGCACCGTAGTTGTGATGCAGAGGGCAGGGAGTGGCTGCGGCCACTGTGCTGTTGATCTTGTGGCGTTGAGGTCTGTGTCTGCTGTTGCTGCTGTCGTCGTGAACATCCCATCGTGCTGGGTTCCCCCGGCGCTCTGGTTTTGCACCACAGCAAACTGCAAGCGCACCCGTGGATGGCTGTATGCCACAGCGTTGGATATGGCACTGGCACTGATGTTAAACAGCATCAGCTCCCGAGCTACACCAAAATGCAAGTGACGGTCGAAACGGCAGTGTGAGCGAGAGTGAGAGAGAGAGGCGTGAGCACGTGACGCGCGCCAGCCAGTGCAGTCACAAACGGCAGCCATGGCGTGCACGCGCAGGCCGTGAAGCAAATCAAGCACGCATCCGTGTACATGCGAGCAATGATACACAGTCATGTCATATCACACCACTCCAGACAGAAATCAAAATGCCTGTGGTGCACCCATCAGTGCTGCACTCTTGCACTCGATACAATGTCGTGCTCTCTGCTTTAGTCAAGCGAGCTTGGGCTGGCTGTGTTCACACGCGAACTCACCTCTAGCGCTATCAAGTGTGGTAAGGACGATAGCGAGTGTGACCACCATGCTGGCCAGCGCTGCCGCTGCGGACACGCGCTTCCGCGACACCATCCCTGCTGCTGCTTGCTGGTGCTGACGGCAGAAGGTAAGAGGAGAGAGGACAGTCAAAGTGGCTTCTTGTGGATTTTGTTTTGTTTGTGTTTTTGTGCGAGGGCAAGAAAGTTGTTCGTGTTTCGCCCAGAACGTTGTGCTTGTGTTTGTCTATTGCTGTTTTGTTGTTGTTGTTGTTGTTGTTGTTGTTGTTGTTGTTGTTGTTGTTGTTGTTGTTGTTGTTGTTGTTGTTGTTGTTCATGCGAGCAAGCAGAGGCCCACTTGATCCCTTTGTCTCCACAGCTTGGTTGGTTGTTTGCTTGCAAGCAAGAAGCAAGAAGCATTTGCACACACAGCATGTACATGTGCATAATTTACAATGAGGAAACACGCCGCCCAAACGGCAGAAAGCGAAGATG